TTCCAAGCAGCAGGATATAGAGCATAAAAGTCGAGGAACGAGACGGACAAGGGTTGGTTTCGGTGCTGCCGAGATTCCACATCCGCGTGGCTCAGGAAAGGGCGAAAAAAGCGAGACAACGGAGGGAAACACAACGCAGGGTTAAATTTGGCGCGTGAAATCGGGCAGCGCGAACATCGGGCCGTGTCAGCTCGAAAAACGGGCCGGATCTTCTTAGGGGCAGGGGTACGAGCAGGGAAAGGGGAGGAACAAGCATCTCCACGAGAGCAAGGAAAGATTAAAGACCCGGCAAGTACGCCCCCACCGCGGAATGATGGATGCGATCCGTGAGACGCGGGCGCCGCTCGCCGAGTAGGTGGAGACTTCCATTTTCATTCCTACGCGCTTGTGCCTCCTCTATCTCTTTCTCTCTTACTCTCTTTTCCTCTCTCTCTTACTCTCGTCTCCTTGCCGTCACTATTCTCGCTTCGCGCGTTCTACCGCGTCTGTACGCTTTAATCAGCGATACGTCCCGCAACTCGCAGCCACACCGCGCGTCTCTGACATCGCGAGCCTGTCCCTCTCCGAGCGGAACCGTGAACCTTGATCTTTCCGCGCGTGCAAGGTTCCCCGGGCTTCAAAGCGGAGTCGCGATGTCGGGGGTGGATGTCTTCTACAACTGCGAAACGCGAAAACCAACGCGATCCTCCCTCTATTTTCATCGAAGCGTTTCCCCATTCGCGGCTCGTCGATTCAAGTTGAAAGGATGATTTTTTACAATTATATTCTAATCGTGTTACACTCGGTACCTTTTTTTACCCTTATCGAACGTGTGTCATCTCCCACGCAACACATTAATTAACACGTCGAGCGCGGCGTCAGCCCCCTGAGGTTGACGGTGGACTTTCCGTTTGGACGGTGTCAATCCTCTTGGACTGACACAGTGTACCTTTTTTGGGCGGCGTCGGTTCCCAGGGACTGACAGCGAACCCATCGTTTGGACGGCATCGGCGCATGGGTCAGGCAGTATCGAGGTTAAAAAATAATGCCGGCCTCTGCCGCCTCGACGGAAAACCCAGCAGAATCGACTCTGCGCTTAACGTGTAAACGATGTTGTTTTGATACTTGTTGGCTTTTCAATCTCATAGGATATAAGAAGATGCGAAACGATATGAGTGATGTACGAGTGCGATTGATAATTAAACTCTGCGGTGACGTGGGAGTCGATGAATGTAACTACTGTGGTATGCTAGCTAATTATGTTTGATTTATATGAACGCCAAGCAGAAGGAAAAACGAGCGTGGAGTGAGTGGAAGAGAGATCTTTTGAGGTAAGGAGATCGAATTTGATGCGATATCAGTAACAGTTGTTTTCGGAACGTAGAGAAAGAGAAAGAAAGCTATACTTTTGTGAGTAGAGAGAGAGAGAGAGAGAGAGAGAGAGAGAGAGAGAGAGAGAAAATTGCGAGATCAGTTCTAATAATATTGTTATATATTTGAATATATATTCAAATAGATTAAATATATATTTCCTAATTCACTCACAGTACTTGTACAAAATTTTGTTTTCTTTAGAATTTCGTACGTATTTAGAATTTCGTACGGATTATGTCAACAAAATGAAGATTAGTGAGAAGCCAATATATTTCATTGATCACACGAGTCCTGTAATAGTAATTTCAGGGACAAGATGGCAGTTTATTCGATCTAAAAGAAAACGACATTAAATGACCCAATGTTTTAGATATCAATATCTGACGTCTGTTAAGGATTAAGAGATTCTGCAGAAAGAAGAATACGCTACAGCTTAATTGTTTTATCATGGTATTGGAAGTGAATTCGGTCAAGGATTCGGTGAACAAAAAAGTAATAACAGCAGCCTAGGGTAGCGGACTCGGTTATCGTGGGATGTGATCCTGAAGAAAGCTGAAACCATCGAAATGGACTTTTCCCCGTGCTAGCGAAAAAAGCTGCTGTCGAATCGTCGGACGAGGTTCGAGCATCGTGAATCGCATCGAAGAAGAGACGAAGCAGAAGAAACCCAGTTTCCAGCAAGAAATCGGACCAAGATGGTCTGGCATCGGTGGTCCCGTGGTCCTTCGTAGCAGGTCTGTCGTGGGCCGCGGCACTACGCGGCGCGTTGTCCGCGCGCGAACAACAATCTAAATGGTAATCCAACACCACACCCTCTTTGCAAAAACTGAAAAGCACCGGCGCAAAAATCGCGGTCCGGCTTGGCGCGCAGCCGGCGGCAGAGGTCACTCGGGGCCCCCGGCAAAAAGCATTAACAAGGCTGCGATGAGCGTCCGACTAATTCTATAACTCTGGCCGCCCCGCGTTCTTGTTCCCCGGTTCCCTGGTGCCCCTATCTTCAACACATGTTCCCGCGCGCGGCGTTATTTTATCGTCTCTCGCCGTTCGTTCTTTTCTTGCACCCTCGCTCGCTGTGTACCTTGTTCTTTGCTTCTCGCCCCCGCGCCCATACGCCGCCCCCTCTCCGACGGGGGCCGTTGCTTGAGCAAACGTATCCGAACGTCCTCGAATGAAACGCGCCGGAGACGGTCGGGGGCCGCTAATTATCTCCCGGCCGTGTAAAAATAATAATTAGNAAATTGCGAGATCAGTTCTAATAATATTGTTATATATTTGAATATATATTCAAATAGATTAAATATATATTTCCTAATTCACTCACAGTACTTGTACAAAATTTTGTTTTCTTTAGAATTTCGTACGTATTTAGAATTTCGTACGGATTATGTCAACAAAATGAAGATTAGTGAGAAGCCAATATATTTCATTGATCACACGAGTCCTGTAATAGTAATTTCAGGGACAAGATGGCAGTTTATTCGATCTAAAAGAAAACGACATTAAATGACCCAATGTTTTAGATATCAATATCTGACGTCTGTTAAGGATTAAGAGATTCTGCAGAAAGAAGAATACGCTACAGCTTAATTGTTTTATCATGGTATTGGAAGTGAATTCGGTCAAGGATTCGGTGAACAAAAAAGTAATAACAGCAGCCTAGGGTAGCGGACTCGGTTATCGTGGGATGTGATCCTGAAGAAAGCTGAAACCATCGAAATGGACTTTTCCCCGTGCTAGCGAAAAAAGCTGCTGTCGAATCGTCGGACGAGGTTCGAGCATCGTGAATCGCATCGAAGAAGAGACGAAGCAGAAGAAACCCAGTTTCCAGCAAGAAATCGGACCAAGATGGTCTGGCATCGGTGGTCCCGTGGTCCTTCGTAGCAGGTCTGTCGTGGGCCGCGGCACTACGCGGCGCGTTGTCCGCGCGCGAACAACAATCTAAATGGTAATCCAACACCACACCCTCTTTGCAAAAACTGAAAAGCACCGGCGCAAAAATCGCGGTCCGGCTTGGCGCGCAGCCGGCGGCAGAGGTCACTCGGGGCCCCCGGCAAAAAGCATTAACAAGGCTGCGATGAGCGTCCGACTAATTCTATAACTCTGGCCGCCCCGCGTTCTTGTTCCCCGGTTCCCTGGTGCCCCTATCTTCAACACATGTTCCCGCGCGCGGCGTTATTTTATCGTCTCTCGCCGTTCGTTCTTTTCTTGCACCCTCGCTCGCTGTGTACCTTGTTCTTTGCTTCTCGCCCCCGCGCCCATACGCCGCCCCCTCTCCGACGGGGGCCGTTGCTTGAGCAAACGTATCCGAACGTCCTCGAATGAAACGCGCCGGAGACGGTCGGGGGCCGCTAATTATCTCCCGGCCGTGTAAAAATAATAATTAGCTCCCATCGTTGCATTAATTAAAGCCCCCACCAGCAGCGTTCGGACCCCCTCTCCAGGATGTCTCGCTGCACGAACCCGCTCGCCGCCAGTAATTACGCGTCCCTTATGGCCCCACTAACCACTGTCCCACAAAGGGCGACCGCTTTACACGCCCACGTCGCTCGCGACAGCCTTCGCTCCGGCGATCCTGCGCGACCACCGCGACCACCGCGTCTGCTACTCCGACGGCGATTCACTCGCCTTGCAAACGCGGACCCGATCTACAATGCTTATCGGTCGCAGAGACGATACCATCGACAGCGTTCGCTACTTTACGATCTCGAAGATTATTACCCCGGCCACGCGATAACACGGTTCCCGGAAGAGTTCCCTTCTTGTCGGGTCACGGCCTGTTCCTATCGCATTTCCTTCGTGAGCAACTGATTCGGTATAACAACGATTCGATACGCTATTAGAGCGGCGTTGAAATATGCGAAAGATCGACCCCTGGATGACGGGTCTACCTCACCGAGGGTTGTAATCATTTCGTGTAGTTCATAGAAACTAGATTAGGAAGCCTTTCACATCAGGCTAATTCCTGCAGTAGCAAACAAGTTCAGCAAATATTTTCCTATCTCCGCAGTATTAACGAGACATCGATATCTAGATCCAATATTTTTCGTATTTTCATTTTTTTTTCCTTTTCGTTAACGCGCTCGCGAACGGTAAAAATTATAATGAGTTGCAAAAATAGACAGGTGATTTATTCTTGAACCATTACATTAAAGAGCGTAATAATTTCGAAAAATAAACGCTATGTAGAATTGAATGCATGATAATGCGGCTCATAAATTTTAATGTTGGTAGCATTCATGCCGCTTTGCGTCACAATGAAAATGAATGCTGTAGCATTCACGACGGCGAACGTATTAAACTTAGGAGGTCTGCGTGAGGTATTAGATCGTTTTGATTTAACGCAGGCAATTATCAAAGATCAACATATAATATAAACTATACGCGATACGTCTATAGGAAAAAAGTTGTTCAGAATGACGGCCTTGACAACGGATTGCAAGGTCATCGATAACGCCGAGGATCCCTGTACCGTAAATAATTGTCGAACGGGGTATCGTTGAAGGTTTAAATAGACGCGGATTATGAAGCATAGAGAGAGATTCCTGAGCACGGTCGGATCGCGGAGGGAATCGGAGCAATCGCCGGGTTTACGGTCGGGGAGCGCGAAAGAAACGGAGAAGCATGCATATAGAGAGCTATGTACTTGCCTGACGCACCTGTTTGAACTGCTCTTCGAAGCTCCAGCTGGTCTGCTGTTGGTGATTCGTTCCCGTCGTGTTGTTCTGCGCGTGATTGCTGGTCTCCCGAGGCTCGCCGCCGTTCCTCGCGCTGCCCTGCGACGATTCGCTGGAATGCGAACTGGCCGACGATGTCATCTGATTATTGCCCACACCGCCGCCCATAACGGCCGACTGAGCATGATTGTTCTGCGAGTGGTGCTGCGGGGTTAGGAACGCCGTTGGCGGCGGGAACGAGAAGGGCAAATTGAACCCACTGCCACCCATTGCCGCTTGTAGCGCTTCCAAGCCACTTTTGTTGTTCAACACGTCTACATCGTTCTGCACAGATCCAATATAAACACCTTTCAATCGACAATTCATCCGTGAACATGCTGTTTCATTCAATTAGCATCGCGATCGTACTAGAATCTCTCTGAAAATTACGTAAAAAATTGACACGCGACCTTTGGAAACTCAGATGCGCGTTTCTTGCAATTCAACGATGCTCTGGGACTGCATTTATGCACGAGATTATACGCTTATTTATTTGTTTGTTTGACGTTATGCTTAATTTTATTATTTATCTATTTACCGGTTTGAATTCCCTCGGATACAAATAATAATAATTATTATTATTATTCCGACATATTGAATCTTATTATGTATAAATAGGCTCGTATGCAGCCCATGTATTATTATTATTATTATTATTATTATTATTATCATTATTATTATTATTATTTGCTTATTTAGCGTTTACGGGTCAAACAAATTTTCGGTGCAACACTGTTCTTTTACAAATCGTTAAAAATAAAATCGAAGAAATAATATTGTTGCGAATTACTCCATTTCTCTCGCGTCGCGGCATTTTATTTACAATAAAGAATATTACCTATAAC